CTACGAATATAAACCCCTGACGGTCGTATTGGTCGTTTATTTCGCGGGCAATTTGAAAAATAGGTATATTGCCGCGAACAGGTCACCGGGAACGAGATATCGTCGTCGTCTCGGAACGTTTCATTAGGGAACTTCGAAAGTTTCGTCTGAAGCCGCAGAAAAATCGGTGGCTGCATGAAGATGAAATAAAGGGGGCACGAAACTAGGAAACTGAAAATATGAGAAATAAGGTCACGCACTCCATTGTGGAATGTGGTACAACGGAATAATAAACGGAGGAACGAGAAATATGTAGAGGTATTAGAAGGTCAGAATGAATGAAAAGTTGAAAGTAGGGAGTGAATGAAAAGTCATTATACAGGGTGGTGGTCGGTATTTGATGATACAACGGGTGAGGAGATGATTTTACATAAAAAAATAAGTCGAAAGTATAGAATAAAATTTGTTCATTTCAAACTCCGTTTTTGAGGAAATCGACTTTGAAAATCTTGTTGGCCAAATAGATCTATACTCATCTGTCTTCGGATATGTTCTGGAATGAATTTCATTAAAATGTATTGGTCCTCTTATAAATGGCTAATACAGGGTGTAATGTGGGTGATTCTACGTGAAAAAATAAGTTGAAAATATAGAATAAAATTTTTCCATTTGGGACTTCATTTTCCACATAGTTGAATTTGAAAATCTGTTGGCTACACGTGCATTTGAATAGGACTTTGTTAGCGTGTCTGTTCATTGCATTCTGTTTCTACTTACCAATTGATTTTCAAAGTCGATTTTCTCGAATATCTACGAAGTCTCGTATGAAACAATTTTATTCTACATATTCGACTTTTCATGCAGAATGTTTTTAATGTACACGATTACATAAAACTTAGTATAGTTTAATGTTTAATACTAAAAGATCGGTTAAAAATGTTCGGACAAAGTTATATTACTATTGTCATCGAAGTTCTGTAAATTTAAAACAGACGTGGATAAATACTGTGGACAGTAACGGACAAAACAATGTTTTTGAAGATAACAGGTGACGTATATACAGATAATAAAGAAATGCACGGGGGTCAAAATGACCGGAGAGTTCCTTTCAGGTGGATCTTTCGCTCCCTCTATTGTCAATAAAGCTTAACGAGGTTTTCATTTCATTTCCGGACCCTCGGCGACCTTTCGTTTCGGATTCGAGTTCCCGCGAATTAACCAACGAACGCTTCACATTTCCATAAACATTCACGATCCACCGAAAGCATTACTGGCTAAGGGCAACAGAGCGCGTGAAATACCGTAAGCCTCCTGTATCCGAACACCCTCTGCTTTCGGATGTTTTTCCTGACGTGGAATTCTTCCACTACCGGAATAAATGATCCCTTTGAAAGGACGATGAATAGAACGCGTGCTGCGAAATATTCCAATCGGATCGGTATAGGATTTTTCATGGTCAAATATAACCAGCGACCAAATACGTTTTTTTTTAACTTGTATTCCTTATAGAACGCAAAAATTCAACTCCCATACGGCGTAAGATTGGGTATGTTCGAGGACAATTTACGTACATTCTCGCTTATACATAAGTAAGGTGAATATCCCAATTTCTACTCATTTGAGCGTGTACTTGTCATAAGGAAGGTGCACAAAATTCATTTCCTGTAAAAATTTGCAAAAGAATTGATTAATTTCTTAATAATAAATCAATTAATTCAAGAAATATTTACAAAAGATATTTCAAGATGTTTAGTTCTTAATAATGACTCATATTTATTACTCATGGTATTCATTTTTACTTTTCCACTCATTCTATTCATCCACTCTTAATATTTCGCACATATCATTGAGAACTATCATCTGACAAATCCTTATTAGAATCGAAGAGGGACTGTTGGGGTCCTTCCCTTATGAGTGTTAAACATCGACACGATCTCGGACATGTAACAATCACCCCCACCCCAATTCCATCGAGCATCACTGACGAAAAACCGTTCTTTTGTGTCAGGTGGTCATCGAGAAGAGTCGTCGAGAGCGTAGCATCAGTCAACAAGAAGTGGCGAGTCAAAGAGGACACACGAGGGTTGGCGATAAGCGTGTGGCGTGGAGAGGAGAGACAGGATATGGTGGCGCATGCTCCTCTCTTTGTCGTACACGCATCGCAGGCCAGCCGTCAGTTGCCCACGTTCGCTCCAGGTACAACGTGAAAATCCATATCGTGGCCGTGCACCGTCTCCCACGGCCGTTGACAGACTCCGTCCGTGGAGATCAGAAGCACGTTGCCCGTTGTCGCGACCCATAGGCCCCCCCTCTCACGCAGCATCCTGGAGACTCACGCGCCGGTTCTCCACAGAGGTGCTCCTCCGTGGCTCGTGGAAGCACGTGCCGCCCGGCAGTCGCGTGTCAACTGTGTCCGCTGGCGGACATCCACCTGATAAACACCTGCTCGACGGGTGGCTCACTTTGCCTTTGTTCTGGCCACCAGACACGATTTTCGGTCGTTGACTGGACACCTGGAGCGGTGTTCAACGACAACAGAGTGGATTGGTACCCGTTGCAACCAACAGGCAACGATTATTAATGGAAACTGTCTAGTCAAGACTTGGTGATGGAGAGATTAATATGATGAAGTAATTAGAAGTGGATGGCTTGGTGACATTCTGGACAACAATTGAGTTCTTCGTTCACTAAGTGGACACGTTTGGAGATTTATTCACCAACTAGAAAGTGAATTGCTACCCAGTAAGGTCAGAGATAGTGAATATTAATGGAAGCTACCTACCTAGGCTGCGTTAGTTTCCCTTCCATTTTGGACACCAAACGGGTTCTTCGTTCACTGACTGGACACTTGGAGCTTTATTTACCGATGAGAGAGTTAATTGTTACGTGCTGAGGCCATAGACAGGGAACATTGATGGATACCTATAGTGTCAGTTAGGGGATAGGTGTAAGACTCTGGCTGGAAGACAGTGAGTCCTCATCGAAGCGACTTGTTTCAGGATAGGAATTGTTTGATCTGATCGACATGAAAGAGGTGTGAGTCGAATGGGTCTGGAGTTCAGGGACTGTTCCTAGTTTTTTTAACGATCCTTAAGTGGACGGTAGCTAACCATACGGATGAATCCGAGAAGCCTGAAGAAAAGTTTGGGAACTCGTTTAGTGGCAGACGATTAAGCACTGATTATAAAGACACAGAGTTCGAAACCTAGATGTAAACGGGACTTAAAAAGCCTCGAAATTGAAGAACTGTTAATGGTGGATGGAAGAGGGGATCTGGATCGAACGTGTTCGCATGGAGAAGTTGGAAGAGTTTCGAGATTCTGCTGAGAGTTCCCGATAGTCTACAGGGGCAATCGAATTGCCAATTGATTGAAGTCGCGGGAAGCTCCCTTTGTCCGCCTCTCCGTGGTTTAAAGACAATCGAGGGGCGAGAAACTTCGGGGGATAATTGTGTTCGAACTGTTGATCGCCTCTATTCTCTGGCCAGTCTGTTCGTTAGCCACTATTCATTTTACGACCGATCGATCTAGTCAATAATCACCACACAAGAAGATCGATCCGACGAACATATATCTCAAACCTGAAGTTCACTCGTCCCATAACAAATAACGAGGTGTCGCCATTTTAATGGTACCCGTACGAAAGTGGAGATTAAACGGGTCGCGAGATGGAACGACGTCTCAGGCGTCGTGAGTCAATTTCAATTTAGCCCATCCGTGGAAATTACTCAGCCACCAGCTCGGAGAATTTAACGAGCCTTGTGGCGAAGACTGGTTGCAGAGAACAAGGTCGAGCCCGAGGAAGAAGTGCTTTAGCCGATGGGATTCTCCTTTTGGCTGGAAGGACATTAAACGACGTTGGTCTTGGAGGGCGAACGATAACCGTTCCAGCGGCGGATCCCGGTGACGAAATTCAATGAGCCGTTTGGGAGCCGTTCGAGGAGCAATAACAGTTAGAAAGTCGTCCGGGACGACATTTTTAACGGGCCGCAGAGCTTATCACGCGCGTGCCGGACCCCCTCGGATCGGAGGTTGGAAACGCCAGGAGGCTCGAGTTAGGGGATGATCGGACCGTATTCCAGAATCATCCCCCTTGCTAATATTTCTCACGTACGTGTCGCGTATTCTTGGACGTACGGGGGACCCTAAAGTAGAAAAAGGATTCTCATCGGGGATTAACCGACCCTACTTTAATGGCGACGAGTCTTATGGGATCCCGTCCGCGCTGGAGGAATACCCTCGACGGCCGTAGAGCATCTGCGGCGAGAGGAGCCGTGCTTCGGGTGGGAAGACCAGCCGGGGTGGGCGTATAATCGCGTGTCGGTGAACCGGCCGGGGAAAGAATAGAGCCCCTGAGATTTACCTTGTGTCATCGTCGGATCGGTACGTGCGTGGAATGTAGCTGGTCCAATTAACATCGTGACCTTATCAACTCAGACGTTTCCGCTTATGGATAGTGTGAGAATCGTACGATCCCCTATCCTGGAATCCCTCTGTGGACATTGCGGAGAAGTGTCCGCGTCAGGAGACATTCGAGATTAATGGAAAAATATAGTCCCCTGTACAAGATCTCGATTAACATTCAGTGATATTTAGTGGTTCACTCAAGGTCTGTTTGATAGTTTTCAGATAGAGGATACTAGGGGACACAACAGGTAGCCACTGTGTGAGTGTTACCGTTTAGAGCCCAGGTGTGTTTCTTGTAGACATTGGAGAAAAGTGTCTACGTCAGGAAACTATTCAGATCAATGGAAGAGTATGATCGTCTGATTCGATTGACATTCAGAGATATTTAGTGGTTCACTCAAAGGTCTGTCTGATAGTTTTCAGAAAGAGGATACTAGGGGACACAACAGGTAGCCACTGTGTGAGTGTTACCGTTTGTTACGTTCGTTATTGAACGTAGTTTGTTTTTTCGTCTGTCTCTCTCTGGACTGCACGAAAAGGAAGGAAGGGAGGAGGAGGAGGCAGGTAGTAGGGTAGTGTTTACGAATCAAACGGCGACTCTGACTCAGTTGGATCATGGCCTGGCAACAGAGCAACGAGACCCTCTTCGACACCGGTAATTACGTGCTGAACGCTCTGAACTACATTAACAAGCTGAACGAATCGCTCAACACCGAGGCGATCAAGTGTCTCGAGCTTCGGCATCGGGAGGAACTGGAATGGTTGTCCCTCGGGAGAGAGGGGGAGGAGGAGGCGGACCGACTTGGATGCGAGATCAACTGGGACTCTTTGCTCTGCTGGCCCAGAACGCCGCCGGGCAGGCTGGCCACGTTATCGTGCCTCGAGGAACTGAACGGCATCCGGTACGACAGCACCCGTGAGTAATAATGTTTGTTTATGTTTGTCGAGTTGGTTAACGGTCTGCGAAGTTATCTCTCGTTGTTGATTAAACGGTGGAGCCTTCCTTGGGACAGGTCGTAAATTTTGATTGAGGGCCTTGGAGGGAAATCGATGAAAGTGACGAAATTTTATCATTTCAGGAAATTGTGGGTAATGTTAAACTTTTATGGAATAGGCCCTATGCTTTAATGTTTAAAAATTATTATTAGACTTGTAATACTTCAGAAAAATATAATAATTATGTAGGATAATAATCACTAGACTGCGAATTTTACATATTTAGACAATTGGGTTTTGTGAGATATGTATATATTTCAGTTTATTCTGAACTCAATTCGATATTTAAGAGAAGAAACAAATTCCTATCTCTACTGTTATCTTCAAGAATTATTTTAGGAAATGTCATTTTGCGTGAAGCTTTGTAGTCGAATTATAATAACACAATGTTCCCTGGGCGTTTTCTGGAATGCAATGTGCAATATGGAAAAATTATGGAATGTTTATCTAAAATAACAGGTGGTCTTGGAAATGCCATTACTTTCACATTTCTTGGTAGATAATTTTGAATTGATAATTCTGAGAAGACTGTGGGTAAATTTACATTTTCACAGAAAAATGTGTATGCTTATGGTATTCGAATAATAGAGTAAACCTGTTCAGAATGGTAGAAGGTTTTTTGTTTATTATTTATTTCGTGAAAATTTTCGATTTTATTTGCAAACCCTGTTTATTTTTCTTAGAGGTAGGAAGTATTCACAAAGGTCCATTATTTTATTGTTTGGAGACTAAATATTTATAGATAGGAAACGATAAACACATCTTGGTGACGTGTTTATTCGAAAACAGGAATCGATTGCGTTTCTATGAAAAATTTCAAACTTTATTGTTCGATCGTGTTACCAACAAATAATGGTTGTTTCTATTGAAAAAGTTGGCGATATTGATACGAATGTTTTTAAATGTATTTTTCAATTATTACAATGTTACACTCGTCCGTCAATCGTGTTACCACAGAAGTTGTTTCCGACCTAAATTACATGTTGACCGTGTGCTCTTAATTATTTTTATATTCGTTCGGAGGAGCGTGAAATTAAAACCGTACCCACACGACAACACACCTGGCTACGAATGCAAGGGAATTTCAAGAGAAATTTGCCAACGCCCCCACATTGTGATCTAATTACCCGTCTAGGTGGGTAATTAATAGCTGCTTTTACTGAACGTTACGTGCTTCATTTAGTTAAACAGAATAACCAGACTCTATATGTCATTTATGCATTATTATAGTAGCCGGCGTATGAAAATGTCGTTCGTTTGTTAAAATTTTTTTTTTGATTTTCGACAAAGAATACAAGAGAATAAATTAACATATATTAGAAATATGTTATTACGAACGATATTCGCGCTCAACAATTGGTGGAAAATATTTCGAACAATAATCGGTATAATAATCGGAGTAACACAATGTTCCCTGTTCATTTTCCAAAGTTTCCCTATACGTCGTAGTATTTTAGTTTAAAAAAAAAAACAAGTTTATTTATAGATCGTTTGAGAAGAAGCAATTGGATGTTTCAATGTCCAGTTCAGGTCGGAGGAATTTATTCGTCTTTCATGCCCTTTCGATGCGGATTTCCTACGTACGATTCCAAGGGAGGAATTCACGTATCAGCGCTATCTTGATTTCCGTCTCTTTTCGAATTACAATGGTCCAATTCCTCGATGCTTAAACCGGGCTTCGAAGATATGGAAAGAGCTTGATAGGAAGAGAGGCTCGGGTCGCGGGTTTAAAGGGGAAAGGTTCCGTGATCTTCTTATAGAACGTCGCAGACCCTCTAATATATCTCAAATATTTGCAACGTATCCCGTTGACCGCGATTTTCAGCTTCATGATTCAACTTCGGTTATAAAGAAAACGAAAAAAAAAAAAAATAGAAGCGGTGAAAATCTCGTACAGTTTAACGTCTATTCGCGATATTTTACGACCGCAAAGTTGAGATTGTTATAAGGCCAAGTCTGATAATTAACGACGAAGCCTGAGGGCGTTTCTCGAAACCATTTTCCTCTTACACGCGCCTCCACTGGAGGAAAAAGATTGCTAACAGAGAGCTGTATAATATTTCAGTGTTGTACCGTCTCGAGAAAGAAAGAGTAACGAACACTTTTTCAACTTCTTATTTGCACACGTTCGTGCAACGGTTGTTGTCGAGTCGTAAATAGCTTCCAGCATGGACGATAACAAAAGTGATCCGCTTGGCCTGGCATGACCCGTACAAGAATTGTCAAATCTAATCCCTTGGATTACGATTTTCTTGACGTTTACCAGTTTCCAAAATGACTTTCTCATTTGGAATGAAAGGAATTCTATGCAAGTCGCAACTGTATATTTACTCTGAAAGTTAAACATTAATATCAGCAACGTAGGTATTTCACTTTGACTGGATGTTAATTTTGAAATCGTCAACACGAGTTTGATACGATGTCATAAGCTTGCGAGTATGTAGTAGATATTAAAATTGTAATAAGTCTTGAATGGGCGTAAATTAAAAAAAGAGTAAATTCTTAAGAATTTGTCCTTGTGGATGTTAGCATACAGATCGGTTTAATGTAATTTAACGATTGGTCTTAGGTGTTTTAAATAATGTTTGAAAACAAACTGGCGTCGTATATTACCACTAAAGCTACTAAGTAAGGGGGCTTTTGTTAAGTGACTACGGCACTGATGGTTACCGACAGAGCACGCGAATGGTCGACGCGCGCTCGCAGTAGTCGAATCCGTCGCGTCAGCCATCCTTCACTTGTCTCTTTGATACTGAATAACTCGGAAACGAAGCCTCTATCGCAATTTTGTTACTCTTGATTTCCGTTTCATTTTGGTATATAGAATTCCTTAAAATATTTCACATTTGTTATCGAACACTCCGTATGGTTTTATTGTCCTTTGGAGCTGAGTAAATCCGAAAACTGACGCGTCGCTGAAAACTTTTTTCTTCCTTTCTCATGGATCTTTTCAACATATTAATCGAGTGTCAGACTGAAGAATAAATTAAATCACGTACCAAGGATATGTCACAAACCCCTCTTTATTCGACACTGACGCGATTTCGAGGCAGCATCGAATTTAATTACATGTCATTTGTTTCCTACGGACGAGCAGCTCTATCTACCGAAAAATCTTCGATGACACGTCCCCCGATCGGCTCGGTTTATCTCGGATCCACGCGCGATTTCATCTGTCTATTCTGCTGTGAAATTGAAAACCCGAACGGGCATTGCGGACACACTCGAATATCGACGGCTCGCGGATAAATATCGTTCGTAAATAAATGATAGAATCAAAGGGAGGCTGCAAACATGACGAGTACAGAGGGCGAGAAGCCGTGCGTGTTTCGTGTAAAAATTTAAATCGAACCCCTTGACCAGCGTCGCGTATGTCCTGTGTGCAATCTTGTTGCGTTTTTTTTTTTTGTTACAACTTCATTTGGTATTTATTGTTCGTGTAACGATGACTTCAACGGTTCGCCTTTTGTGAGGTCGAGGCAGACCTGTGGCGAAACGGAATTTAGGGTATCATTGCATTGAAATGAAGTGAAATTGTCGATATTTCAGCTTCATGTCAATGGAATGGATTTTAAAATTATAATTACGGGTTTCTTCTAGAAAATTATGAATGTTCATGTAAATGAACGAAGAAGCATAAATTGACCCGTTGAATTACACAGTGAAAATAACCGTACATAGCCAGACATCGTTTATTTCGTTTTTTGTAAAGTCATAAATCGTCGAAAATATATGCGTTTAGTTAATAGAGGTCGTTGGTCTTGTTTTAAATTATACTGTGATATTAATTTTACGGAAAAATAGCACGGTTTTTAAATAGTCCAGCCGTTAAATAAAAGATGGTGTCTGACCTTACGCACTCTTTCTACTTGTTCATAATGAAACCGTTTTCTCCACGTGAAAATTCACAGTAATCATAGGTGTATACAAAAGTAAGCTTCTTTCTTTATAATCCTCAAAAAGAGAATCCTTTAATCCGAAAATTTTCATTAAATATTGAACAATCGTTACAGCTGTCGTTCGAAGCGATCCCCCGAGGTTTTTCCAATTTTCCTAGGAAAAAATTTGAACCCTTCATCCGTACAATAACTTTCTAGCTCTCTCCACTGGAACAGAGTTGTAGCTCGCGGCGGTTACTAGATTACATTCTGTGCAGTTCGATAAAACGAAACAAGGGGCTCGTAAAATCTTTTATCATCGATCGATCTTATTTCTGAAGCGGACAGGAAGTAGATTCACCTCTTTCCCCCCCCCCTCCCCACGGTGTACGCAGGAACAACAAACGTCTCGAAGCTTCGCCGCGGAATAATTGAACTGGAACACGTACATCCATCTCCGTTTTAATTTTTCAGATATTTCCAGTCGGTCGTGCTTCGGAATACGAAGATCGTGAAAATTATTAATTCAGCTCCGCACCACTGTAAAAAGCTCTTCCATCGATAGGCTATGCACTGTCTTTTCCTACGATACCTGTGATGTATTATCAGACGTTTTTATGATAGGAAAATGTATAATTTTCTCATCGACGGTTGCTGCTTCCGAGATTTATCCCAAATTCTTGCATTATACATATTTTATTTCTATTCTTTTATTATATTTCGTCCCAACGTTCAAATAATAAAATAAGAAGATTCACCGCTTTTTTACGATCGGCCAAATGTGTTTTCAGATTTAATATGCTGTTGGTAAAAAGTCTGTTATATTCAGCAAGTTTAATGCTACATTATGCGATAATCCGGTACGTCTATCGTCGGTAATATTGTACGATTAAGCAAAGTACAAGTATTAACAGCACCCATTACTTTCGTTTATTCAATAAAAGTGCTTGCATTATTACATTTCTTCCACTTTGTATGTTGTGTAGCTTTTCGTCCGGAAAATTAATATTTTTATTCTCGTAAACGCGACAGGGTGTATAAT